AGAAGGGCCTAGATCATTGTGGGTGGTGCCATCCTTGAGTTGGTATTCTTGGGTTCTTAAGAAAGCCCAAATTGAGCAAATCAGAGCACAAGCCAGTTATCAGCACTCCTCCATGGCCTCTGCATCAGCTCCTGCCTCTGAGTTCCTGTCCTGTTTGAGTTTCTGTCCTAACTTCCTTCACTGATGGACTAAGATGTGGAAGTCTAAGCTAAATAAACCTTTCATTCCCAATTTCCTTTTGGTCATAATGTTTCACCATAGCAACAGCAATCCTAACTGTAGGGGAGTGGAAGTGTTATAGCTCTGGAGCTGTAACGATACCCTGACCAATCAGAAAGCCGGGCTTTATTTCGAGCTGCAAAAAGGCGTCAAAAGTCGCAATAAGACAGCTCAGGCCTAGAGAGAAAGGGGTCCTGACTTGTCAGGAAGCCAGGCTACCTGAAGTTGGGGTGCAGTGGGGGATGGTCTCCCTGCAAAATATAGCTATCTCACTGCTCTCCTGGACAGCAGCTACAGATGAGATCTTTTCTGTTCCCCTAAGGGAATGTCCTAGCAATCCTATCAGCTTCTTCTTCTTCAGTCCAACATGTTACTTCTTTGGCTAACACTCTGTTAAAGGGGAAGTCCCTGCAGAAATGTAGCAATCTCCTCTGGCTCTGTCAAAAAGTTATTACTTTGTCTGCTCTGCCATGCTCAGCCCCCCCCCCCTCGCAACACACACCCCAAAGGATGGTCTCAGCAATGTTTTTCAGTTCTGTCCCCTAAGAAACATCTCAGTCAGGTTCTTCTCTTCTGCAATGGCTAATGAAGATCATCACCCAAGACTCTTTTGAGAAAGAGGTTTATTTGGAAAGGGGTCCAGAAGAGTGGCTACCTCTGCCAGAGTGGAGAAAGGCAGCCTTCAACTGAACAGGCAGAGAGGCTAATATAGGGTTTCTTAAGGGTAGAGTTTTCCCAGAGAGAAAAAGGATCAGTTAGTTTTCCCTGGTAAGGGTCAGGGGCAGAGATGGCTCTGATTTCATGACCAAACTGTGTTTCTTTCATTGACTCTGGGCTAAGAGTCTAGGGGCTCAGGGATTGGTTGGTTTCCTGCTCAGGGATTGGTTAGTTTTTCTGCTTCAGTTGGCCCTTTTCCCTTACACTAAGTAATACAGGCATCCTAGAAGAGAAGTTACTATCACCACTCTGCTAGACCACCATGATGCCTTACTACATTCCAAATCTTACCCTTAATACCCATAGATAAATGTAGCTACCGCCCTGCATCTGAGAAATTGTCTCTTTTACAGCAAATGGAGACCATCAGAGAAAGCTGCAACTGCACACTATGCAGAGGTGAAGAGATAGATGGTGGGGAGCTCAGCCCCAGTATATACATCTGTATCCCAGCTCCTGCATCTACGGTTCAGAAGAGGGAGCATAGGGATCATAAGAGTTAGAATACCAGGAAGTATTCTAACTGTCGGCTGTGGAATGACTGTATGAAGAAGATCAGAAGTATGTCAGTATCAGTAGACAGGCTATTGTGACCGGGAGTGCATTTGAGGGGTCGAGCCTCAGACAGAGAACTGCAGGCAGCTAATGACTGTCTGGAGAGGGAGAATTAGCCTGTCACAGAGATGAGTGCCCTTACCCGTTACCCAAAACAATGTATGAAATATATGAAACCACACATACAGTATAAAAGTGCATTCAACATGTGTGTGTTTGTATGCATCTGCATGCGTGTAACAATAATAATCAAAGAAAAGGGTTATTGACTTGAGAGTGGGGTGTCATGGCAGGGGTTGGAGGGTGGATACATGAAAGGAACCGGAGGGAGAAAAGGGGAAGTAGGTAATTTAATTCTATTATAATTATATATATATATATATATTAAATGAGGCATTTGTTTCTCTTTATTCTGAATAGAGATGAATACTGACTGATTTGGGATGAACTACTACTGCCACCAAGTGTTAGGATTCCAAAACAGTTATATATGTTTTTCCATTGAAAATGTAGTATAAAGCATGCCAACCTGTGCCGCTGTACAACATCATAAAACTGTCCAAATAAAGTGAATACTGATGAATAGATAAAACATATTTTACTGGATTTAGTAAACAAAGTATAAGATGAACACCAATGATTTTGTTTCCACAAATACCATGGCCATTATTATGGCTAACAGACAGACAGGCAGACACACACACACAACATGAAAGCTATGTTTTGCTAGGAAAAATTAAAGTGATTTTTTTTTACCATTTAATAACGTAAGAAACTATGTGCATTAAGTTGAGTGCATGCAACTGACATTTATTCCGTGTTCTTGCAGATGGCCTTTCAGTTATGACAATAATTTGCAGTTCACAGAATAATGGCTGGGTTTTCACTCACAAGCGTGAATTCTCCCAATAACATACATGATTTTGTGATTGGTTTTTAGGTGGCAATCTAAAGCAGTGCTTTCCTCTTAGCTTGTGTCAATCCTTACAGAAGAGGAGGGCTCTACTACTCCTGGGGTCCTAACAGTTGGAAGCTGACATATGAGCTCGTGCTGCTTTAAGCAACCTCGCTTGATTGTGCAAAGATGGAAAATTAAAGCAATATATGGGCCTTATAAGTATATCTTGTTGTAAGTCTGAATCAGAGTATTTCATTTGTCAACATTTAACGTACATAAATGAAGTACAAAAGTCTTTTTTTTTAAAATCCCCATTACACTCCTGACTGTAGTGTTTACTGTGCCAGCAAAACACCTTGACCCATAGCGGCATTCCTCTTCCAGTATATAAAAAGCTTATATTATAGTCCCAAGTTTAGAAAATTCTGGAATTTTCTAACTGAGAGGTCAGTCGTTCAGTGGTTAAGAGTGCTTGCTCTTCTTGCAGAGGACCTTAGATCAGTGCCTAGCACCTACGTGGGTTAGCTCACAGTAACCTGTAATTCTAGCTTCAGAAGATCCAGCACCTTCTTCTGTCTTCTGTAGACACCTGCTCATGTGTGTCAGGCACTCACATAGGCACAGTAAACACAATTACTGTGTTTTAGTAGACAATACAACTAGCAAAATAATGCTAATACTGTGTTTGACAAAAAGTCACATCAAGTGATCAAAAACCAATGAATGCAAATTACTGGTAAAATGATACACATCTTTTTAAACTTAGAAAGGGGGAATTTTACTATAATAATGTATATATATATATGTTTTGACTACCATATATTTATATTTACTTATGTATTATATTATTTATATATTCATTTATTGATATCACATTTTAAAGTCATATCAAGTCCTTTAATAAACAGACTTTGGCTGGCACTGTGCCATTTTGAGCTAACGGTAGCCATGTCTTCCAGCTCGTGAGTATGCCTCTATAACATGATCCTTGGAGGCTAAAAGTGTCATATCTCTGCATTTCCAGCCCAGTAGGCTGCCTTAAGCAAGGAACTCTACAAGGGAATTGAATGATATCTGTGGAATCTACATTCCCAAGACAACTGGAGTCCTGACTCTAGGAAGCCCATTCTGGTCTCCGTTTTCAGAAGGTTTACACTTGACCTTAGCAGTCTCAAGACTTTTGCACATCCACTCTTCTGACATTTACTTGGCTGGTGTCTTCAGTGGGCAGAGTTCTGCTTTCCACAGTTCAGCTCACCACAGTAACATGATAGTAATAGTCTAAGATTTTTTTATTCTCTCTCCTCTGCGATCAAGCCTGGCAAGCGTCAATGTTTTTGAAAAAAAATAATACAGAACAAATAAACAAAAACTCAGGCTCAAGATTCGAGGCTGGGGGAGGGGAGAGATGCCTGCTGTTGCTCAGATACAGAGCCAGGTGTCTTGACGTATTCTTTATGAGAAGCCAATATGAAAGTGATGGTTACGTTGCTGAATCTTTAGGGATACCTGCTTCTTTCTTTTCAGTCTTCCTTCCAACCTTAGGGAATACATTCTCTATACAACTGAAACATGCTCATAGTATGAACAAGGAACCCAGGCTTCTTAAGAGTTTACATGGCAAGGTGAATCTGATTCATACCTGTTTACCTGAGTCAGATACCATGTCTTAACTAGGACACGACTCAGAATAGTCCTATTCTCAAAATCAGCTCCATGTCGTGCTCCATGGTAATGTTTAACCAACAGATTCATCTGGGGAATACTAGAATTAAGTACGGTGCTTTTTCATATGTATTCCATTATATCATAAGGGGTCTACTAAAGATGAGTTGATAGGAGGAGGATGCTATGAACTTATCTCTACGGTCAAACAGGCTTGGGTTTAAAGGCTAACAGTAAAGTTCATCAGTCTCCAAGGCCTTGGGCAAAGTCCCTTCAGTTCCAGAGTCTATGAAACCTGGTCATCCTCTCTTGAAGTAGGCAGGGATTTTTGTTGTTGTTTTGTTTTGTTTGTCGAGACAGGGTGTCTCTGTAGTTTTGGAACCTGTCCTGGAACTAGCTCTTGTAGACCAGGCTGGCTTAGAACTCAGAGAAATCTGCCTTCCTCTGCCGCCCGAATGCTGGGATTAATGGCGTGTGCCACAACGCCTGGCCGAAGGCAAGGATATTACATGCTTGGGATGCACACGTAGTAAATGTTTGTGGTCATGTTTCATGTGCCACCAGTCCGACTTCTGAACTTATAAGAGTGGGGAAGAAATGGGGTCCCAATTTCCTTTACCGCAGCCGCTCTCAGAGCGGTAGAAAAAGCGTTCTCCCATTCCACCCTGCTGAAGGAGAAGGCCCATGTTCCATCAGACCCCAACAGATTTAAAAGAGAAATTTCAAATACCTCCCTTTTCCCCAAGCGTTGCCAGGGTGTGAGCATTGCCCACCTTTACCTCAGCCTCAAATCCTGCGTCACAAAACCCCTTGAGAATGTTCAGGGGACCTCTAGTTCCAGCGGGAACCCCTCCTCCTCACAGACAGCGCCATGTCCAATCCAATTGGCTGTCGTCCTTGGCAACCAAGGACGCGGTGGGAACGTGGGGTGGGGGTAGGGAGGCCCCAGCAGGTATTTAAAGGCTGCCACTGCCCACGCCCATTCAGTCCGGCCAGGACGGCGACGGTGAAGCACCTGGGTTGAGAGGGAGGAGCAAGGTAACACGCAAGCGATCCCTGCCTCTCCCGTCCCCAGCCCAAGCCTCGTGTGAGGCGGGTGTGTGAGGGACCCGGGAGTGGTTCTCACAGCTCATCGCCCACCACCACCTTCCTCCCCCACCATCCTTACCCCACCCAAATCACCTGGGCAAGACAACCCAGGTGCGAAAGACAGTGATTCTGAAGGGAAGAGCTAGCGAGTGGAGAAGCAAGAGTTCAGGCGAGGTCACAGCCACAAGCACCTGGCCCTAGGGACCAGCAGAAAGGCTCTTCTGATTGACCATCGGATCTGGCCTAAGTGACAGCACCTAGGAGGCTACCACTAAGAAGACCTCGTGGAGATCCCTAAACCATGACCCAGACGGTCAACGAAAGGGAAGATCCCCTCAATCTGGGCGGAGGCGGTTGGGCATCCTCCATTCCATTGCACACTTGGTCCTCCTACCACCGAAGGCAGAGGGGTTCTCAGATGTCCAAGCGGCGTTACCGTGATGGCACCAAAGCTGAATATGAGGCTCCCAGGAAACAACCGAAGCAACAGCATAGCCCTGGCCCATGGTTCCAACCGCCCAGAGGGCCCTATTGGGCGGTGTACTCCAACTGGGGACGCTGCGGAGAGCCCTGGCGCCCACCTCTGATGGCATTCCAGAGCCCCCTGTGCCCAGCGCAGATGATCCGAGCCTATGGTCTGCAACCGGTCTGCCTTTGCTGCTGTTGCTGCTGGAGCGGACACTGGAACCCCTGTTGGGAGAGACCCCCTGGCAGAAAGAAGCGCTGGGGACGCAGGGGCCGTGGCCTGCGCCGCCACCCTCGTCGCTCCTTCCCGAGGAGCCCACCAATAGACCTGAGCAAGCTGCTGCGGCCAGTCAACCTTTACGGGTGGCGGGCGCCTGGGATGAGAGCGCCTCGGAACACCACTCAGTTTATCATGAACCAGGTCTATGAAGACATGAGGCAGCAAGAGAAGATGGAGCGCCAGCAGGCGGTGTTGAGAGCTCAGCAAGCCCAGGCCGGTGGCACCACGCCGGGAGGCTCCACCGTCAACAAGGGGCCTCATGGCGGCGTCGAGGTAGAGGACAGATTGCCTGAAGATCTGTATGGCTTAATGCAGGATCCCTCTCTAACCTTCAGTCCCGCTCCAGTGCAGCAAATCCAGTCTCCCACCCCACAGCGGGAAGAGGAGGAGGAGAAAAACGATGATGAGTGTGGAGAGGTGTGTGATGAAAAGGAGGAGAGCGAGGAGGAGGAGGACGAGGAGGATGGAGAGGCAGAGGATGAAGATGTGGATGAGGAGGAAGTTGACGAGGCTGACAATATGGAAGAAGGAGAAGAGGACCAAGAAGAGGAGGATATGTTGGAAGAGGAGGGGCTGGAGGAGGGACAGCAGAGAGAGGAAGACAAATTCTTGCCTCTGGGAATGCCTTTGTCAATCCTAGTAGGGGACGAAGAGGAAAGAGAGAACTTCATAAACTACGACTTATTAAGCCGAGAACAAATAATTCCCAACGTGCCAGAGGCAGATCTGTTTATGGTACCGGACATTAGCTGTTAGCCTTCAGAAAGGGAATTGAGAAACAAAAAGGAACTGATTTGAGGCTAATGGGGATTAACAACTTATTAAATGCAAATTCAAAAGCGAGTTCCATTAATAAACATCAGTGTAAACACCTTCGTTGGCCACTATAAAATATTTAAACATTGGTGTGTTTGTGTATGACTGTGACGGGTGGGGGAAAGAAAGATTTCAGATATATTTTATTGGAAATGATTAAAGGCCAAATATTTTATTACTACAGTTTGAATATTTTCATTTGCTGTCTCCCTCTTCAGACAACTGAGATTTTGTAGTTCAAACTTTTTTTTTGCAATATCAAACAGCATTAAGTTTAATGAGCTTGCAGTCCACAGACTTTTGACTGTCACATGCTTAAGAAGCATGCATGGTGACCACTGAATATTTACACTGCCCTTGTCACTGAGGGCACCGAGAAGAGTCTTTTCCTACAGCTGTAGATTTTCCACCGTCAGAGTTCATTTTTGAGGGCTGTATTTTGTAACCCCGTTTGCAGGCTGTTGTGGCTTTGCTCATTTATATTCCTTATTTCACAGTGCTATGGATCTTCCTCAGAGGAACATGAAGTTGCTTCTGTGGAACTGGTTATTTGCCATGGCCTCAACAATCCATAATCCATGCATGGAGAGGATTCCCCATGGTCAGAAGCCAACTTGTACATCTAGTTAAGATCCAAGGTAACTGCAAACAATGGCACATGGCTTATATTTTGAAGCCTTGTTCATGCATATAGTCCTTGCATACGTTCAGAGGAAATAGAAACCTAGCTTTGCAGAATGGATTAAAGAAATGATTGTTGACTTTTGCGGGGGGTAGAATATCTAATTTTGTTTCCCAGTTTGTCTTCTTTAAAAAAGAGAGTAAAAATGATGTGCAAATATGTGCCTGTGTGTTTTAATAATCTATGGAGAACACATCCTTCCAAATAGCTACCATGCTTCAAAGAGTTTTAAGAGGTAAAAATGAGATATCTCCCTCCAGTTGCGTAAGTTCCACTGACTGCATTTGCCTAGAGTCATCCTAGATGAAGAATTTGAGTACAACGGCTTCAGAATTCCACCTTGTCAGTTAGGCGTCTTAACTTGATATACTAGTACTTGTTGGTTGACCAGAATATTTTCTTGTTGATCTCTTTCTTGGGTAGGTATTGATTTATTTGCAGGATTATAGGCAATTGAGTAATAAAATTATTAAAAATGTCCTCATTTGTATTTAAATATCTCAAATCTATGCAGCTGTTCTCCAGTGTCCAACAGGATGAAGGAAAAAAAACCTCTTTGTAAAATTCTACAAACCACACCAAACATTACAAATTACATCAATAAATATCAAACATTTTATTGTAAGGTAGGAAAGTATTATTTTATGTATGACTCAGTCTAAATGTTCTATCAAATTGATTTAAATTAGCTATTATTTGCCTTCCTATTATAGTTATTATATGTACATATAGGGGAAACAAAACCCTATGACCCTGATATTGGCTGATCCCTACACATCAAAACTCAAATGTGCTCCACTGAAAACATTTGTGAAAAATCACTATGACAAATGCATATAGCTTTCTATTTAAGAAAACTATCTAGCCTTGACTGTTTTTATAGAATCACACCTGGAAAATTCTCAATCTCTCATTATAAGAGATAACTTCTTGTAAATTTAAAACTTCTAATTTTTAATATTTTTGAATTTTATCCATGTACGCAAAGCATTAGAATCATCCACACCACTGAACTATCTCCCTTGGTTTCCTGACACACTACCTTAACATCTTCCAAACTTTGTAGCTTCTAAAAAATTAAATTCAGCACATTAAATGCCTCCAAAGCTTTTCTTTTTAGATCACTACTACAGATTTTCTTAGTCTCTGTCCTACCCCTATGAAGAGGCTCCATGACCAAGTCATTTAGTTTGGGGCTTTCTTACAGTTTCATTGGCTTAGTCCATTATCATCATGACAGGAAGCAAGGCAGCAGGCATGGCAGGGGAAGGTGCTAGAGAAGACTTGAGACCTGCATCCTGATCCACAGCTAGAGAAAGAGGGAGAGAAAGAGAGAGAGAGAGAGAGAGAGAGAGAGAGAGAGAGAGAGGAAGAAGAAGAGGAGGAGGAGAAGAAGAAGAGGAGGAGGAGGAGGAGGTGGAGGAGGAGGAAGAAGAAGAAGAAGAAGAAGAAGAAGAAGAAGAAGAAGAAGAAGAAGAAGAAGAAGAAGAAGAAGGAAAGAAGAGGAGGAGGAGGAGGAGGGGGAGGAGGAAGAGAAGAGAGAACACCTAGAAAAAGAAGAAGGGGGAGGAGGAGGGGAGGGGAGAGAGCACCTCGAACTACCATTGATTTTTTGAGACTTCAAGACCCCTCCATTGAAACACTTCATCGACAAAGCAGTATCTAATCCTTCTAATTCTTTCCATGAGTGCCACTCACTGGTGGCTGAGTATTTATATATATGAGCCTACGGGGGAGGGGGGGAGGAATTCTTATTCAACTATCACAGGGATATAAGTGACTATTTAGGAGCTTACATTCTAATCTAGGGACTGTCATTCAGCAGTTACTGAACTACTATTAAAATTTACTACGGTTCACTAAACTATGTGAAAAATAATGGCACAACGATGATCCACCAAAATACTTTTATCTGAAGGAACACTATGAAAGCTCAAATCCGAAGTAAATCTTAGAGTGAGGCTGGGATATTTGCTATGTGTTTTGGGGTGGGGAGGTTGGAGCCTAAGATGCCAGCATCTGGGAGAAGCTTTGGGACATTGAGGATCTGAGAATTGACCTAAGGAATAGAATCTGGAGGAAGAAGCAGCCAATAAGAAGCCAAAGAGGTAGGCAGAAGTCATTACCTATGTTTTTTCCCTTTTTTTTTAAATTGATTTTTATTGAGCTGTACATTTTTCTCTGTTCCCCTCCCTGGTCATTATCTAACTAATTACTATACTTATCTGGATCTTTTGAAAGACATGAGCAAAACAAAAACTACTCACTGGTGACTCTCTGACTAATCTTGTTTTAGAATGAGACACTGTGATGATCCTGGAGGTTAATAGGAAAAAAATGAAATCATGTTGAGAACTGGGGTAACCCCTACCACAGTACACCATTACATATTTCTTAGACCAGGTCACCCTACTCTGTCATGCAATGAAGTATGTCGAGTTCACTTAGCATGATTGTTGTAGCTACGTCTTACCATCCATTCAGCAACTCCACGCAGCTTATTCTGGTAACTTAAGGATGGTTCAGTAGACTTGAGCATCAGTGAGGCTCAAAGTAGACCCAGTGTTTATGTTAGGAGGTAAGGTGTACTGGAAGAAAAAAGTATGTCTCAAAGAAACTCATTCTCTTCTTTTCTTCTTCTCCTCTTCCTCTATTTTTAGGGCTGACATAGTACTTTGATATCAGGTGCTAAGATTTATCCATTATGCTCTATATAAACATGAGACATTAGATTAATTTCTAAAGCTGATGTGATATTTGAAGAAAGCATTTCAGTTAATACTTGTTAAATGCTTTACGTCAGTTATATAAACACAATCAAACAAATTACCAGTATATATGTATACAGTATATACATTTGCTTAAATATAAAGGTTTAAATAAATACATACATAATTATTAATAGAAAATATCCAAGTAAAGTTTTCTAATTTTATTACATCTCATTAAAAACTGTACAAACATTCACTTAAAATACTCATGAATTTATAGGTAACGTTGTAATTTTTCAGTGTAACAAAATCATTTGGAAGTTAATAGCTGGAAATTCTGTTTATGCTACACTTTTAAAATTCATTATAGATAAAAACAATGACAATTCTGAGTAATATCAGTATATATCATAAGACTATAAAAACACACAGCTCATATTCCAAAAAAAAATTTGAACATATACAAGACTTTGGCAGACATTATCCATTTTAAGCATATAGCCACCCTCACAACTAATATTTTACTTACCAGTTACATATAATGGAAAAATCAAACGAAGAAATTGTTTCCAGTCCCTAGTTGTCTAATTTTAGATCAAAATTGCAGGTATACTTTCTTACTTGAATATACTTCCCTGTAGCCAATTTAGAACTTTATCCAAAACAGAAGAAAGAAAGGAAAGGAGAAAAGTATAGAGAATGTAAATAAAACAATTTAGGAACAACCTAAGTTTGAGCTGAATTCTGAGTAGCAAAACAGTCTCTTCAGTATGAGACCTACAACTAAAAGACACCTATGAAATGTACCATCATTCCTACCTTCTGTTAGTATACCTAAAGTTTTATGTCATGTGCAAGGTTGATTCTCTCTGGGCTATTAGACAGAGGTCAGTGTTGCTAGAGTATATTCTTTTCATGCAGTGAAGCAGAATTAACAATGATCTTTTTGGAATCATTAGGACACAAGAAAGAAAGAATATATTTCTCTATTTGAATTCACATTGGTGTAGAGATAGTTATGATTGTTTCGTTACTGGGAGAAAGAAGAAGGATTTGAGACAAATTCATTGCTTAAACAAGCTACACTTGAATATTTTTCCTGGAAACTCATCTTTTAACTTCAAAATATACTCAATATTTAGCAAGTAGACTTTAATTACTTTTTGAAAAATCTCCATCTACAGCTACATGCACGAACAGAGAGGCAGAGAGCAGACTTCCTCCAACAGGAAGATTTCACATTGAGAAGATTGTCCAAGCAGAGGTTCTGACCTGCAGGTGGTAAAGAGTTAAAGAATGTTATGAAGCAGCACTCTTTCATAGCTATGAGTACTAGCTCTGATTTCTTATCACTTTGTCTCTTCGAAGCTTTTCAGTAATGAGAAAGGGCATTTCTCCATGGTAGATGGTTACCTCCATGAGTGAGTCTCCCTTCAAATGAGAAGCTGATCTCAAGGGTGCAGACCGTGAATACATTTGTCACTTCCTTTGCCAATTACTCACTTGGAAGTGTAAATTTTATACAATAAATGACCCTGAATCAAAGACTTACAGATGTTTGTGTTGAAAAGTCATAGGTTCAAACCTCTATCATCTTGCTTTGTGTAAATCATGCCTGGATTTTTCCCATGTGAAGGCCACTTGCAGAGGTATGTATAACATGTTTAAATGAATAGTCATAGTTCCAGTAATGAGAACTCTCAGGGATGGTGGACATGGCTCAGTCAGTAAAGTACTTGCTCACAGACATGAAGACCCAAGTTCAGATTCCCAGTATTTATATAA